CAATGAACATTTTAACTTGTAACCACATATTTCAGATTAATACCAACTTCTTTTCAATATTGTACAAAAAGACTGCTTTTGTATAGCTCTGTTTCTTCCCCATCTTTGAACAGTCTTATGCATGTGCATGTCCTAGATTCCTAAGAATTTGTCAGAGCTTTTCAAAGCCTCTGTGGACAACTTATTCCCCAGCTTTTTCCTTTAATGTTTTTGGTTTGCTGTTGTTTAACTCAGCTGTTATCTACCACCTCAGTCAGTTACAAAGTTAATCAATTGCTGCTTATTATTTTCAACAAATGCCCCAAAGGAAAAAGCTCTCTGTACTAGGCAAGCTCCAAGTCAGGTGGAATAAAGACAGAATTGCAAGTGGTGTCTTCCAGAGGGGTGATGTGACATGCCTTCTCATTAAGTCAAAACTAAATCTACTGAGAGACACCCAAATACACCTGAGGATATATGTACATGTATTTGGATTACCATCATGGGAATAAATTGTTTTCCCAAAAACCCATGTTGCAAAGAAAGAAAGCGTTTTTTACTTTTTCAATTAGCAAACACAGAGTTTCTTCTCAAAGTTTTGCTTATGGGTTCAGATTTCAATTTTGTTATTATAAATAATAATTATGGTCATTTTAGGGAAAATGTTGCTGCTTGTTCATTTTTGTGTTTATCCTACATGAAAGACTCTACTTTCTATTTTAGACCCTGTAATAGGATCAGCACAGACCTTACCTCATGAGTCCTTTTGGTCCAGTTACATGAAGATAATAGCCCTGATTCATCAACATGTGGTTGTTTGGCAGCTGAGAATGGATTTTGCTAATCTCTCAGCACTCTTGCTCCTGGTTCCCATAGTGGGTAGTGGCATACAATGAAATGATGGGCTAAGGATGATCTGAAGCCAGGGAACACTGGGAAAAGACAGCTCACAGGTAGCAAACCAGTGACTTTGGAATCATGAGTGAACAGTTCGAACCAGCTTTGCCACAGATAAGTGAGTTTCTAAATGCCCAGAATACCAACATCTCAGCTAAGATTAGACTATCTCTCTGAGTATATGAGATCTGTCCAGAAAGTATCCATCCATGTAATACGAAAAATAAATTTACTGAAGAAGATAGTAGATACAAGAAACATTGTACGTAGCACAGTGACGCCTCAGTCCCCTCAAAGTAGGCACCTTGAGACCTGACACAGCTCTCCCAGCATCTCTTCCACTGTTCAAAACACTCTGCAAAATCCTTTGTGTGAATTGCCATCTGTTGCCCCATCGTATTTTCCTGAATCTCATCAGCGGTCTGAAACCTCTTCCCTTCCAAAGGTGGTTTTAGTTTTGGGAAAAGCCAGAAGTTGCAGGGCACCAAATCAGGGCTGTGGAGGGATTGAGTCACCTGGGTGATATTTTGCCAAAACACTCTACATGAGACGTGATGCATGAGTGAGCATGTTGTGATGAAGCTGTCGATCACCAATTGCCCATAGCTGCAGCCATTTTCCTTGTGTTACATCTCTCAACTGACGAAGAACATTGAGTACTCCATATTAACTGTTTGCTCTGGACGGGTGTACTCATGATGGACAACCCCTTCCCAATCAAAAAGCACAATTAACGTGGTCTTGATCTTGCTGCGACTCTGCCACATCTTTGGATGTAAGAACGGGCAAATTCCATTGGGATGACTAGGCCTTCATTTCCAGAACATAGCCATAGACTCACAGTTCATCTCTGGTTATGACCTTCTTGAGGAAATCTGGTTTATTGGTAGCAGTCTGAATCAGTTCATTAGCAACTGCAGCACAGTGCTCCTTCTGCTGTGGTAGCAGAAGCCATGGAATGAATTTTGCCAAGACACGTTTCACGCCAAGATCCTTCATCAAAGTCCCAGACACAGTAGTTTTTGAAGTCCCCAGATCAGCTTTTAGTCCTCTCACTGTCAGTTGCCAATCTTCATTGATTGCAGCCCATACACATTCACCATTCTTAGGTGTTCTGCTTGTTGCAGGCCTTCCAGAAAGTGATTCACTTTTGACAGATTCTTGACCACCTTTGAAGTATTTGTGCCACACTTGTATTTGTGCTGCACTCAATGCATTTTCCCCGAAAGCCTTCTGAATCATCCAAATAGTTTCCACAGAGGAATGTTCAAGCTTAACACAAAATTTGATGCAGATTCATTGCTCTACTCACTCAATCATTTTGAATGCAGTGGCCACACAGTACACATGCTCACTCAATGGCATCTACCACCCCCACTGACTAGTTCGGTGAGGTTGTCATTGGTCATACATGCACATCGCAATCTACTCTCCTTGGCTGCCAGGTTAAATGAACGTCATGCAAACCATTCTCATTACATTAACAATGGCTGGACTTTCTCCAGACAGACCAGACTGGTATGTCATAATATCACATTGTAGTGAGACTAAACTGTAAATAGTTTACCTGTGATTCCCAAGCTATGTGATGTTACAGGGAAACGTTTTAGACCTTTGCAATTTGAGGAGTTCAAAGGCTCAGATCTCTTCTGAGCTCTGCTTTCAACTGACTCATGGTCATGGCTAGAATACTCACTCCTCTAGGACTCAGTTTCCTCCACCTGTCAAATAAAGTCATTGCACTGATCTTTAATGCCCTTCCAGCATGAATGTTTGATGACTTGATGAGTCTAAAAATTGCCTTTAGGGAATAGGCCTACAGGATAGAAATTACAGTAAAACTGGGTAAAAATTTAACTGAAAATCTTCTGCCATTGTTACCCTAATAAGAGTTATTTAACTGCACAAAGAGAACTCATCAGGCTCAAAAGGGACTCTTAATTCTGAACGGATCTGCTACATATTTTTTATTTTATTTATGTATTTAGCCTCTGACAGTTATCTCTAATAAGTATGTCAAGGACAGGATGAATCTGCAATGACACAAAGCCAGGGGTAAATATTTACCAGTATCCATGGCTAAGGAAAGTGGGATGTAACAGAGAGTAAGTGGATATTTACAAAAGCCAGTGAACTACCTCAAAACAAAATTCTCTTTTCACTTGTTCTACTGATAATGGTAGTAATATAATCTTTGGCTTTTTGTTTAGCTTGTTGAATATTGTCCATTTAACTAATTATAATTAAGCCCTGATTTACATGCTATGTAAAAATAAATATCCTCTTACGAGTTACCCGTATATGTGAGTGAATTTACATCTCCTAGTTTTGAGCCACTTAAGCTGTTCACTCTTTAAGGGATTGGTGCAGTAAACTGCATTTATCAGTATTCCAAATACCAACACATGAAGCTTGATCTTCTTGAGATTGTTCATCCTTGCAACTGCCAATTCCTCTGAAAGATCAATGAGAACATAAAATTTTTTCCTACCCTACTTTAACTTTTATTGCATCTATAATAAAAATGCTATTTTAGTAAATAAAGATGGTTCAGCTCATTGCAGAAGTGTGTTTTTTTATTTTCTCCCCAGTAGTATCCAGAGCTAAAGCTTTTAGTCACACTGGTTTTCCAACGTCTTGTCAGAATCTAGAAACTGCAAGGCAAAGTTACCTAAAGAAATGATCATTTTCCTGCTTTAAACAGGATAAATATAAAATCAGTAGCTTTATTTTTATATATTTTTACAGAAAAAATTATTTAATTTTTAAATGATGTTCAGCTTTAGAAAACCTTGACATATGAAATGTTTCTTTTTGCAAAATAGACTTAATTGCATTTCAATAGAATAACATCTTTAGTGCTAATCCTTTGTGAAGTATATTTTTTAATCATCTGGCAGTAAAGTTGTTAAATATGAATTTTTAGCCCTTAAGAGAAACAAATTATTTCTCAAATATCATGGGTGATTCCATTGTAAATCGAAATATTACCTCTCAACTTAAAGGAAAGCTATTACATATTGTTAAAACAGTTCTCATGTAATCACATCATTAATATAAGTTAGTAGTGGTTTTTTGCATATCTTCCTAAATTTAATAAGCATACCCAAATTTATACTTTCAAGTGAATTTTGCTTTCTTTAAAATAGTTGTCTAGGAAAGTTATGCTGTTATTTCAGTGATGTTATTGGTGCTGTAAATGGTTTGCAGTCGCTTCATTTTAAACTGCTTTGAGAGCAACTGTACCTAGCCGGTGAAATTAATGGTGATTTTTATTTATTCATTTATCAGATATCTATTGAATATCTATTATTTGCTAGTTGTGCTAACTTCTAGTTTGATGAAAATTAAAAACAAACAAACAACATGGCCCTTGCCTTTATTATGTTCATAATCTTGTGGTTTTGATTTTTAGAAACTGCTAAAAGCAGAACTGGTTGAGGGTGTTAGTGAATAACACTTAAGTGAAAAATGTTATGATATAGGAGATTGTTTTTTCTTTTTTATCCCATAAAGTGGTTTTCAAAGTGTTATCAAAGAGAATTTCGAAAAAACAAAAACAAAACCCATTTTGAACTGAGATACTATCTTTGGAATAGATTGCTTGTCTTGGTAACTAATTGGAAGGGTAATGTTCATTTAGATGTTAACATTAGTACTTCATTAGATTTTGTGTATATTTTGGACCTTATTTTCACCAACTTTTGTTTTTTAAATTTTGTTGTTTAAATTTTTGTGAAAATTTAAGATAGAGTTCTGGTTTCCATTTGAGAAAACTGTTACACAGGCAGATACCTAAGTGTAATTGTCCTATTGATCTTCAGTTTTGTGTATGTATTTAAATTTACATAAAGTACAGATTCTTAGCCTGTCCTTGACTGGTTTTCTTCAGTATTTGTGTGTATATGATTATACACTTGGGAATAAAATGGAAGTATCTAGTTATGCTTCATCTAGAAGTGTGATTATGTTATAAATAAAATTGGACAAAAACCAATTTTACCCCAGACATTTAATGCATAAGATGAGAAAAAAATTTTCTTGCAGTGAATACACAGAGGAGAGGCCCGGTGCACTGTTCTAGTAATTTCATTTGTAGTAACACAGCATGTTTGTCTCTACAGGGGGATCTTTGGATGTATACAGAAAAATTCCAGAGCACGTCCTTGGAAGGATTGCAGTAGCTGTGAGTACATGGCTTCAACCTAATGAAAGCTGGCTGATTTCATCTCTAGTCAAGTCTTATTCTCCTCATATCCTCAGGATGTTCTTTTTTTCCTTCAATTCCTATTGACAATGAAGGTCTTCTTCACCTTCTCTTCTTATTGTTTTTGTGCGTTCTTCTTTTCACAGGCCAACCCACAGTAATTACATAGTCACATAAGATCTTTCAGGCTCATAGGTACTCTCACCTGTTCCAGTTTCTTGTGTTTGCGGAGACCTTAGTGCTCTTGCTGACCAGTAAAATTTCCATGTTCGTCAGAAAGCAAGCTTGCTTTTGGATATTTTATAATTGTAGGCATATTAGAAAATACTTTTTAAGTCTAAATTATTAAAATAAAACAGTGTGTAGGAAAATACGACTTTATTCTTAAAGATATTTGCAGTTTTTATTTTCTTGGGTTTTCATTGTTTTCACCCACTACATCTAGGATTATTTTCTGTCGGATTAAAAGCAGTTTTCCTATTTTCTATATTCACTAATAAACTGATTGAATACTAAACTAAATTACAATATAAGTCCCAGATCTCAAATTTGGAATAAATGTGGGTTAAACAATGTCTAAGAGAAGACATGGGGTGGTGTAATAGTAAACAATTGCTAAACTAAAGGCACTCTAATAACGTAAGCAGTTTAATGCAGAACAAAGTGATTATACATACCATGTACCATTTAATTAAATGGCTGATTTTCACATCCATTATACATCAGACTGTCAACTCAAATCCTTTAATCCAACATGGACACTTATTTAGTTTTAGTTCATTGTAATTCACAGCTTTCCTTTTTTCTTTCTAATTATTAGTGTGAACTGCCCAGGGTGATGAGAACTTTCTTTTCTGATGCTATTGCTGTTAAGTAGCTTCTAATCTACATGTTTAGGCAGATTAGTTTAGTATGAAATTTGAGTACTTAAATCACTATTTTAGATGAAAATAAAAATGTTTCCTTTCCTCTTTTTTTAATCTCGGGAGGAATGAATTCTTTGTGGCTTTTGGCAGTTCTTGGCTCTAATGTTTAATAACACGTATAATAAAAGGGGGAAAAGGCAAGGATACCAACTGAAAATGAAAAAAGTATATGAGTTCTATATACTCAATTATCTCTTGAACCTGGCTAAAATAGGAACCCGCCTCCTGCAGTAGAGAAGCAGGTCCTTCCTGGACTTCATAAATCTTACCTTCCTCTGTGCAGGGCACCTACACAGAGGCCAGTGGTGTTTTCAGTTCTGCTGGAGTGGGGAGCCTGTGAGTCAATAGAGTCAGGAAAAAAATAATAATAGTAATCCAGTTTCAAATACAGGGCTTACCTATTGGGTAATTGAATATAAGACAAAAATTATTTTAGTGAAAGGCATTTAAAATAAGTGCTCGCCCAAAGCATTGTTTACATTTGCCCTTACGTTTTTAAAAATTAGGAGGGGTTTTTTTTTCTTTCTTTCTAGAATGTATCCAATTGCTCCAACTTTTATGGCTCATCAGGTCATAGTAATGAAAACTGCCTGTGGCCAGAGTAGGAAAAATGCTTTTGATAATTTTGCTCTTCATCTGCCACTTTTTATAAACTCTGCTGGGGCCTAAGCTTGTGTAATGCCTGCAAAGTGTATTTTTTAGTGCATTTTGAGGAGGCTATAAACTTGGACAATCCTTTGTTGCAACTGACAAAAACCAATGGAAGAATTACCAAAGTAGGACTGGCGAATTGATGGGTTCTAGGCCATGGTTAGTAAAGTAAATGTCCTTTTAGCCTGACTGGGTTCCTGGTATCCTTGATTATCTCTCCTCTGGTGTTCTGAAGACAGCTTCAGCATCGTTCCCGTTAGTTCTCTCAGTGAGGTCAAGAAACCACAATAGGCAGACACTGTTTTCATATTGGAATCAACAGAATTAGTAGAGAAGAGGGAAATAGGTGTACAGTGAATACTTTCTTGTGCCAATCATTGATAAATGTTTTACACACAAATATTGCTATTCAGTCTAAACAGCAACTCTGCAAAAAAATGTAGATTATTGTACATATTTTATACATGTATAAGGTGAGGCTTAGAAAAGTTAAGTAATTTGCCCAGAGTTACCATATAACTAGTGAGTAATAATTTGAGCTGAGGGCTGTTTGACTCCAGGCCTCATGTTCTTTCATCCTGCTTTCCTAAAAGAATGAGAAAAAAGAAGAGGAAGGAGTGAAAGGGAGAACAAAGTTAAAGAGAAAAAAAACAAAGAAGTACATGAATGAGAGAATAATGGAATAACACATACTGTCGCCTCAGATTCTTTTCATGTCTTATTAGAACCATGTCAAGGCATCTCTCCCTCCACAAATTAACTTTATTTTTCAGAGATCCAAGATTCATTATAGGATAGACCCCTGTCAGCCTTTATGATATGTTGTTCAAATTTTCTCTTGTAGGACGTATGGCAAGAGAATATTTTTCCCAGAAAAAGAAATCCACATGAACTATCTGAATTCAGCTTTCCAGCTTGCTCCATGATTTTTATTCACTTTCCATTTGAATTTGGTCTCCTTTCTGTCCAAATGCCTTTCTGTCTTCCCTGGCGTCTAACACATTATAGTTTTCCTCTCATTTCTGAAGCAGTGACATTGTATACTCTATTTTGAGTGCTCATGTTGATTGAAGTTGTCCCTGAAAGGATGTGCACTTGACATGTCAAGGAGTGAGTGATTGACAGCAGATATAAGTACTTTTAGTGTCAAGGTTTTGTCAAGCCATTGTTGTGAAACCTAGCCTACTGAATACCAATAATACCCTCTAGATTTTCAGTCAACAGATTTCCAGCTCCCGCTATCTTGATTCTCATATACTTAGAAAGGAAAATGTAGTCTGTTTTTACAAAGTTGGAAAAATAATAATTTTTTTGAATCTCTAATAAAATTTGTAATTTTAGCTATCTTTAATGGGAAAGTATTATAATATGTACCCAAGCTTATAATTGCGAAGTTTAACCCTACTTCCAGAACTCAGAAGATGATCACTTACATGCTAAATAAGATGACCTTGTTCTACTACTCAGAAAGAAAACTGTATTATTGATGGTATTTTTGATAAGCATGTAAGGAAATATTTTTGTCCTGTTTCCTCCTTTTGTGTTAAAGTTATCATAAATACTATTTTAGTATTTTCCTTTTTTACTATCTTACTGTTTAGAAAAATGTGTGTTTTATTGTAATGCCACTTATCCTAAACCCCAGAAGAAATCGTTTGCTATAAAAATGTATTCTGTTCTCTTAAAATAGACAAATATTATGGAATTGGCTATACTGTGTTAGGAAATCTTTCGGGAGTACATTCCACTCTATGAGAACAATTAAAATATGTTAGCTTCTGCTCAGCATTAGTTGATAGAGATTTTATCATCTTCTAGGTCTTTAGTATTTGGAAATGGGGTTTCTCCCTTTGCATTTCTACTTTTAATATTACTCTTAATCTTTCTTGATCAACTTAAACCCTTGTATATTTAGCCCCCAATCCTCTAGTCATCATTTCAAGAAATATAATTCACTTAGTAATTTCTCATAATGGTAGCTTTTCTTGTTTTATAGTCCTGACCCATCTAAAATTTCTTAATAATGATAGGTACTTTTAAATTCTTATAATACGTTTGAGTTGTAGGTGTTTATTTATTGTATATAATACCTAATTATGAATAGTCAACCATGAAATTGGCAAGCCCACACTTGTGTGTACAGAGTTAGTGGGTGTAAATAAAAATATGTGCATTTCTATATAAAGATTTTTAAAGCTTTAAATGATTAAATTTCCCACATAGAAGATAGCACTTGTATGTACCTATGGTAGTAGAAATACCTTCTCTTTTTTTTTTTTTTTCAGTATCTTATTTGACTAATTATTTGTTAACTGAATTTATTGGGGTGACGTAAGTTAATAAAATTATACAGGTTTCAGATATACAATTCTACAGTACATCATCTGTGTATTGTATTGTGTGTTTACTACCCCATGACTAATTATTCTTAACTCAGGCTGTTAAATTTTGAAACCTAAATCTAATTCAGATGTTTATCTTCTCACTTTATTTCCTTGGCTTGCTTTTTCAGTATTGTCTACATGATTCCACACTTACTTGCATCAGCCAAATGAGCTACTTTGTTATTTCTTACCCCAATATCATTTAAAACATTTTTGGGAAACTTTTTATTTTGAAATTATTTTAAGCTTTCAGAAAAATTGTGAAAATAATACAAAGAATCCCCATAGATGCTTCACTCAGACTCCACTATTGTTACCCACTTTTCATACAGACACACACACACACAGCTGACCCTTGAACAACACAGGGTTTTAGGGACACTAACCATTGTGTAGACAAAAATCTATGTATAACTTAAGTTGGCCCTTCATCTATATGGATTTTCAACTGCAGATCAAAAATACGACATATTTTGCCTTAAACATTTGAGAATAAGTTGTAACCATTATGACCCTTTATCCCAAACTACTTCAGGTGTATATTTCCTAATAACAAGGACATTCTCTTAGATTATCACTGTATACTTATCAAAACTAGGAAATTAGCATGGATACATTACTGTTATCTAATCAATATTCCTTATTCAGATTTTGTCAATTGTCCAATAATACCTTTATAGACCAAAAGAAAAAAATGTCTGGTTCAGCATCCAGTCTAGGGTTATGCATTGCATTTAGCTGTCATGTCTTTTTAGTCTCTCTTAATCTAGAAAAATGTCTCAGTGTTTGTTTTTCCTGACCTTGATATTTTTGAAGAGTACACTACCCTAACACTTTGATTTTATATTCTTACTTTAGCAGAACACTTTCTCCTCTTTTTTCACGTCAGTTACTCAAAGCCCTGGTGGTAAAGCCTTCCTGACGACTGGCAGGAAAAGTGGTCTCTTTTTTACCCCATTGCCTTAGTTAGCTAACTTTTTAAAAATGTCCTTCCCCGCTTTTTTTATTTTGGTCATAAATGTCATGACTTCTGGAAAAAATTTTTATACAGAAGTATAGAAAAATAAAAATGAAGATCTTTGTCCCTTTTTCCTGTCCCTCTCCACTAAGAACTTAGAGATGTTCTTCCTGGTCATTTTATGCACGTAAACTTAATTCTTTCATTTCTCATACCTTATCTTCAGAACATTGAAAGTTTAGTAAAAGAAGGGACCTGAAGTTTATACATCTGGCATTCTCACAGAACCTGGCACAGAAGTGGGAGATGCTTATTGGTTGACAGAGTTTTAAAGGAACAATTATGGTTGAGCCCTGACCAGCAAGACTTAGTGGCTTGGGCATCATCCTGCAAAGCAGAGTGTTGCCGGTTCAGTTCCCAGTCCAGACCCATTCCTGGGTTGCAGGCCAGATCCCCTGTTGCGGGCATGTGAGAGGCAATTGATTGATGTTTCTCTTGCACACTGATGTTTGTCTCCCTCTCTTTCTCCTTCCCCCTACCGCCTCTCTGAAAATAAATAAAATACTTTTTAAAAAGAATTATGGTTGATAAGCTTATATGTTTAAATGCACAAAGTTCCTTATAAAAACCATCATTGTATTGTTTTCTCTTTCTCAACTTTAGGTTGTGAAAGGCCTTACCTATTTGTGGAGTTTAAAGATTTTACATAGAGGTATGTACTGAGCTTACAAATTTTGACTTAATTTGAGGTGGGGTGGGGAGCTCTTCAGATCCCTTGATTTTTAAAGTGACTAAGTGATGTGATATTTAAGCCAGCTGATTAATTTGGTAGTCAAAGAAGTTAATTTTTCTTATTTTCTCACTCAAATGCTCTGATTTAGATTATAAACCTGGTATTATGTTTTTGTGGATAATACTTACCAAATAGGTAAAAAGGTATTTCATATTATCTCAGAATCACAGGATCTTATTTTTCTTGCTTAACTCTTGTTAATGCAAAACCTTCACTTCTATACAATTGCATCCCTTCTTTTTGACATTTCAGATATCATCATATGCAGTTTCTTAAGAGCTTGCTTCACATATCTTGAAAGTGAAACTTTAAATAAGGAATTGGTGAAAGCATCAGAAATTACTCTCTTAGTCTATTTACAGAACACGTGAGGAGAATAATAGGATAACTGTTAAATGTTGCAAAAGGAACCTCCCTTTGCATTTTTTAATGTTCCCAAAATGTCTGAATTTGTTTGGAACAAGTTAATAAGTGAGATACAAATTATAACAAAGCAACTTCAGGGCCTAATGTTACTAACAGTACTATTTAATTTTCCACATCTGCTCAGCCTAGCTTAATGCACATTTGGGGAATGCAACAGCATACACATTAGATGTGATTAAAGGAAGTGTTTTTTTTGTTTGTTTGTTTTTTGTTTTCTTTTAAAGAAAAGGTATAAACTATGAGAGAGAGAAAACAACTGATGTCTTTAATTTTAGTGCCACATCTGTCACTAAAGATTGTTTTCTGTTATGGTGGTTTTCATATCTAGTGATTCCAATTTCTTCTTAATTCCTCCTTCCTTTTTTGAATAGGATATGCTTAATTTGACAAAGTATCGGTTCAGTTCTTTGGTTCGGAGGTATTTATGCTGATTAAATGGAATCATAAAGCAATTTTTTCTTTAAAGCCAGTCCACTCTATTTCGAGAGTATAGTTGGTACAAAATGTAAGTGTAGGGAGGGAGAGTCAGTATTACTCTTCCTGGGTGTGAATAAGCATGTAAATACATCTGATGGGTGGGAGAAAAATGGAGCATTTTCACCACCAGGATGAAAAGAAATGGTATTTAACATAGTATGACTTATATTGCTTCTATTCCCCATATTCCCACCTCCACACACTCACCAACTCATAGAGTGGTTATAGTCACTTTAATAGGCATTAACACAGTAGTCAATTCTTGTCATTTTATTGATTTTTATGGTCATCTGCTCTCATTTGACAAAGGAACTCAAGGAAGTCATCAGTTCTCAACAGCGAAGCTTTCATTAGAAGGACCTTGCCATGGAAATGCAAATGTTGTTATTAAATTGATCCTTAGGACCACCCTATACTCTGAACATACAGCACAATTCTGACTTATAAGGACTCTGTGAGGAATCTTAGTGCTAAGAACTGTAGTAGATGGGAAAATACTAGTTAACTCTGCAATTATTTTTTATTTTTCTTTTTTAAAGTCAGAAATCAATAGATATTGATAAATAGATATACCTGTAGTGTTTCCTGTATCCAGATTATTTGGTTTTAGTCTTGCTCTTTGTTTTGGAGAAATAATTGAACTTTTCATTTGAAATGGGCTCTTCTTAGTCATGTTTCAAATGGATTTATGTCTGGATCTAAAAATAAATTCTAAAGCGTTGGTCAGATTTCCAGTTTAACCACCCTATAATCACTGTGGGCTAGTGTTGTTGACCGGAGCCTCTCAGAGGCAGGTAGATCCTTTTCCCGGTTCTGAGGCAGTTTGGGCTAAAAAAGGTTCCTTTACTAGTGACAGATGAGGGCCTTAATGATTTGACTGACTGAGAACATGGAAGTTTCACAAAGGAAGCCTGAGCTTGTACTTCTCTTTCCAGTTTATGCTGACCGACCCAGTTCCTACAGAGAGAGACCCACAGTGAAATGCCTGCGAGGGGCTGTGTAGTGGAAGTGGTAGTGGGCCAACAAACCCTCCCAGGGGATTTCAGTTTTACATAAATGCCAGTGAGTGAGTGTGCAACTGCATTTGTCTAGATGGAAAGACTAATGAATTAGAGTGCAAGTGAATGGTTATTTCCCAGTGATTATGGGCACCCAACTACGGAAATAATATACAGTGACAATATACTCGTTAAATATATTTATATGTTTAGCTTTTCAGTTTCCTAGTTATTCATGGAAACTTACCTTCTGGATTTAAAAGCATGTGTTTTCATTGAAAAGTGGAATAAGCCAGGTTTCCTTGAAGACTTTTGTAAAGCATTGTAATGAATTGTTAACTTAATATCTTAGAGGTTTTTGTCCATATTTAATAACTTGAATTCCATAAAAATAAGATTAAAGATGCCTTTTTATTTCCCAAAAAGCTATTTAATTTTCTCCTTGATTAAAAAATTGTAGCTTTTTAGATCAGTTCAATCAGGCAATTAAAGATCAGAGCTTTAAGTTCAGCTAAGGCAATTACATAGGTAATATACTTGTTTATACACTTTTGCTGTATACGCTCATTGCTGTGCCTTCTTAAAAGCACATATACTCAGTTTTGCTTTCTTTAAATGAATGATGATGTGAATTATAACTGAATATGTGTCACATTGCCAAATCAAAGACAGATGTCCTTCTGCAGAGCCTGGTACAGGCGCTGTGAGAAGATAGGTGTGAAAGGAAGATAGCGAAAGAATTACTAATAAGTGATCTAAGCCTCTTTCTCCTCTGTCTTGGTCTAAGTACCTGTGTTCTCTTCTGACCATCATTTTCCTCCCTACGAAATGCTTCTCCTAAAAAACAGGATCTTTGTGAATTTACAAACACAAATTTTAAAAGATAAGAAATAGAGATGTATTGAGCTACCTAATGAGAAAAGAGAGCTAACTATTTCTCACATTTAAATGGCTTCCATGGAATACACTGTTCCTTATTTTTGGTTATATATAATATATATACTTTTATATATATAGTGTATTGTGGGATTTATAAAACATAGTTAAATGACTTCCAAACATGCTGTTGAAAATCAAGTCTTTCCTATGGTGCATTTCCAGTGAGAATTGTAAAGTAGAATGAAATCTGAGCACCAAGCCGTGACAAACCACCCATTCCATGAGGCTTTTTAATCTGATACAGGTTTATTTATTTGATAGTGTATTATGTCAACTGGTAATATTTTAGAAATTGAAGTACAACAGTTGCCATTCATAGTGGATTATCAAATGTTATAGTTAGGTTTTACTGTTGTTTATTTTGCTTTTTTAAGAATTGGTTGAGATGATATATATATATGAAAATACTTTATGAGCTATCAGATAATCAGGTATGTTTTTTTATTAATGAGTAACTGTGAATTAATTACTTTATCCAGTTAATAAGCATACCCTGCTCCCAAATCAAGGAAGGGAGTGAGTTTATTACACGTTGCATTACGGGGTCAAAATTATGAAAATATTTTCTCTAAGATAAACTTGTATATATCACATTAAGACATAATTTCTTTTTAATTTTTAAATTATATTTTATTTATTATGCTATTACAGTTGTCCTGATTTTTCCCCCTTTGCTCCCCTCCACCCAGCACCCCCCACTCCCTCAGGCTGTCCCCCTACCCTTGTTCACCTCCGTGGGTCACACATGTAAGTTGTTTGGCTACTCTCTTCCCTATACCTTACTTTAACATTCCCATGGCTCTGCTGTAACTACCTTATTTGCGCTTCTTAATCCCCTTACCTCTCACCCATCCCCCCCACAGCCTCTTTCCATCTCCTTATCTTTAACCTTTGACATTTTAATTATGTGTCTTGGTGTGGACCTCTGTATCCATCTTGTTTGAGCCTCTCTATGCTTCCTAGACTTGCTTGTATTTCCTTCATTAAATTAGGGGAGTTTTCTTTCATTATTTTTTTCAAATAGCTTGTCAATTTCTTGCTCTTTCTCTTCTCCTTCTATCACCCCTCTGAAATGAATATAGGATTGCTTAAAGTTGTCCCACAGGCTGCTTACACTATCCTTGTTTTTTTGGAATCTCTTTTCTTCTTGTTCTGATGGGTGGTTTTTCTGTTGTTGTTGTTGTTGTTGTTTTTTTTGCTTCCTTATGTTCCAAATCATTGATTTGATTCTCAGCTTCATCCACTCTACTGTTGTTTCCCTTAAACTATTCTTTATTTCAGTTAGTTTATCCTTCATTTCTGAGTGGGTCTTTTTTATGCTATTGAGGTCCTCACTAAGTTCTTTGAGCATCCTTATAACCAGTGAACCTTATAACCTTTTGAACTCTGCATCTGATAGATTGCTGCAAAGATAGATTGGCTCTTTTTCTGTAGTTTGATCTTTTTCATTTGGGCCATGTTTCTTTGTATCCTTGTTTTAGCAGCCTCCCAGTATTTGTTTCTATGTATTAGGTAGAACTGCTTTGACTCTGTGTCTTGGTAGTGTGGCCTAATGTGGTAGGTGTCCTGTAGGGTCCAGTGGCACAACCTCCCCTATCACCTGAGCTGGGTACTTGAGGTGTGCCTTTCGTGTGGGCTGAGTACACCCTGCTCTTGTAGTTGAGACTTGGTTGCTGTTGGCAGATCCATGGGAAGGATTTACCCAGGCCAGTCAGCTTACAAGGACTGGCTGTGACCACTGACCATCAACCTCCACCCTCTGTGGAAGATCAGCTGTGCAGGGGCAGGGTGGTGGTGCTTTGATGAAGTCTGTAGCTGTCCACTGGGTGCGCTGGCCCTGGGGTTTCCTGGGTGGTACAGGCCAAGATCAACCCCCACCTGTTTTTTGCCTGGGGTCCACTCTGCCTGAGCCATAGAGCAATCTGAGATGGCTGCTGCTTGTGCTGGACTTGAAGATTCCCAGGCGAAGCCAAGCTGTGAATCTAGGCTGGCTGCTGCTAATGCTGGGCCTGGGGCTCACTGAGGCCAGCTGCTGTTTGTTTGATAGGATTTAGGAAGTTGCAGCAAGAGCCAAGACCA